CATGTTTCACTCCCGGTAGTTTTCTAATAATATTGTGCTGTCGAATACGGCTAGTTATTCGCTCACTCTGAATTTTTCCAACTGGTTTTTTTGTCTCTGCCGATACATTTGGGACCATCTTTAGACCAAAACGTTGAAATAGTATTTGTCGTATCATCGGCCGAAAACTCTAAGTCTGTCTCATGATTAGAACTGACTTCTACTGAATCTATGTCGCTTTTTTCATCGTCAAAATTTTGCTCTTGCGTCTGTTTAAGTAACCAATCCTCTTGCTCCAATTCTTCATATATTTTTAACAGTCTGGCCTATTCTTAAGGATCCATTACACAATAATATTTTAAAGTTATATGATTTAAAACACAAAGTCAATAAAAATTGCTCTGTAGCTTTCCAAAATCGTCACGTCGTTAGTCGCGGGTGAGCTAATCGCTCATTTCTCGACATCTGAGTTTAATCAATACTTGGAATAGATTGACGGTTGCTCGATCAGAATTCTGCGTAAAACATTCTATACACAATAGTAGTAGGAAGGATTACATGAGCGCAGTTACCAATGTGAGTAAAATTGTGAAAAATGTTAAGAAAAAAGTAAAATCGTGAGTGTTGCGCTCACCATGCGACAAACGCAGGGTTAATGATTTAATTAAAGATTAAAGCTGGTTAACTGTTTAATGTAGTTTCTTAATTCTTAGTATGTTAAGGGGCCTAAGTCCTTGTAGGAAGAGCTGGGGCGACAAAGATGAATAAAACGCAATACACAAATACTCCTTGAAGTTTTTGAAGTGTGGAGTAATCATCATTTTCGTCCATCTTTTGTTATACTATAGTTATCCTTAAATAAATTAATATTTTTAAGATATTATTGTCTTCACTTACATAAAATTCAAAACAAATATTCTAATATTTATTTGAAAGCAATAAACATATTTCTATTTTTAGGAACAAACAAGGAATCGCGTATCATTTATTTGATATCTTATCTTTCTTTATATCCATCCTTGCAAGTTTTATATTACCGTGTTTTTCAAGAAATGTTCATGTCACAAGCTATTAATGATTAATGAGACCTGCAGAATCAGCTTTTGTAAAGAGAGATATTCTTCAAATTTAAAGAAAAATCCGTCATGCGAATAAAAAGTAAGGATTTTATTTTTAAATTACGATAAAGCCCTTCGAAGAGAAACGTAAAAGTACTGCTCGCTGATAAGTTTTATTATTCAAAGATTTTTGTTTTTACCAAAGACGTTAAAAAAATATTTATTCGATCGATAGGAATTAATATATAGAATTGTGTGAATAAAACGCCACAGAATAATCAGTAGAAAAATGTTACATTTAAATTTATTTTGGTTACTTGAACAAGATAAAATATATTTTCTGTAGAAAATATTACTGATTCCCAATATGAATAAATACACCAATACAAAACATTCCTGTAGTTACCATCCTAGAACTGCACAGTAGGGTCTGAGAATCCCAGGTAGCATAGATTCTTCAATATACTTCTATCTCGTTGATAGACACTTTAGACACTATTGGTCTAGGGGATTTCCTCACTAAATGAGAGAAGAACATTAACAATATCCTGAAAAGATTAATGTGCGGGCAGAAATTATAGATGATATCATTGAATCCTTTGAATTGCGATGATTATTTAGTACTTCTCAAAAATAATGTCATATTAACTTTTATCAAGATCTCCGCCTCCTGTGTGTGCTGGGTGTATTGAGTAGCTCAGTAAATGCCAGTGCCGGTCCCAAGCCTGGATAAAGGAGAATGGTTGAGGCGATGGGCTAGCAACTCATCCCTTGTCAAAACAAATAAATGCTAAAAATTGCGATAAAAAGCCTCGGAATACAAAGGATGGATCTAAACAAAGACGACTAATGCAACGCAAAAGGAAAATGATATTGGCTACATGGAATGTACAAGCACTTAGATCCAAACAAGCAGAAGTATTAAGAATTAGCGAAAGAAAAAATAGATATACGTATTCTCACCGAGACAAGAAAAATGGAAAAGGAAATAAAGAGATAGGAGAATATATATATATATATATATATATATATATATATATATATATATATATATATATATATATATATATTATATATATGTATATATATATATATATATATATATATATATATATATATATATATATATATATATTTGTTTTTTATTTGTCGATGATACTCTTCTTAATTGATCTCTTAAAATTTTTCGCCTACGTATTGCCCTCTTTAGATATTTTCTTTATACTTTGAATTTTAAATAATGTGTTTTACACTGCTTGCAATATGCATAAACCAAAGATCAAACTAATTACAATTAATTTTAAAGTGTGTATGTTTCGGTTATGCTTATCTGATCGATAGCAACAGAAACTCATCAGAGAACAAGCAAACATGTAACGTTAATTAATTACTTCAATTAATAATCCTGAATATACGACATCACCCTGCATATAATATAATATGTACCATTTGAATATCTGGTTACCACCGGTTTTATTTTCCCCAAATTAATTGAATCCTTTGTGATAGAAATCGCTTGGTTTAGAGCACCTTTTATTAGAACAGTTTCTGGGTAATGAACGTCAACCTCAAGCGAATCTTAGAGGTGGCATCCCGGCGGCATTGAGCGTCGTCTTTGGAGAGGGACGTCGTTGTATCGTCACCTTGTTAACTCAGTTGTTCGATGGAGTGTCCTACTACGGTAATTTGAAGGCGAGTAATTCGATAAAGGCGTCTATTGCGAAGCTAATTTTCGTAATACGTATTGTAAACATGAGAATAAACAGAGGAATGGGGGCCGAACCCTTTCCCTTTTGGCAATTTAATCTCCCAGACGAGCCCTACACACCGACTTACGGACAAAATATATACACCCAGAATAAATTTAACTTTTTGTTTTAAGATTTTATCTCAACATACTGACGGACATGTCAACCCTTTTTAATCTCGTTTTTGCACCTCTCCTAGATGGTTCACGTATACCATTGGCGTACCAACCAACACAAATATTGGTTACCGCAGTATTTATACCTGTATTATATACCTATATTATATACCTATATAATAGGAGGCCATAAAACTATTTAAGTAAATCATAAACTACGAGAAAGAAAAATTGGTACAGAGGTAAGAAACTAAATAGAGGGTTAGTTGGAAATACTAACAAAGCCAATACCAGGAACAATGGCACCTAGTTCTAAAATACAAAATATAAAACTAGATTAAGATACAACATAAAGTATTTATTTGAAGATCTAAATTTACCTACTACAAATTACATGTTAACTTCCAACGGTAAAAAGAATTAAAAAAAAAGTTTAAGGTAACCGGGAACGACCCAATACGAAGGAAGCAATAAAAAACGGGTGCTTCAAAGTGAGTGTCTTTTATTAAAAGTCAAGCTTTTGCCACATAATTTTGGGCGTCATCAGAACTTGCTGTAATGGAAAATCATTCTTTACAATCATCTTAATTAAAGATGTTATTTTTAATATTACCTTAACGTTGACACTATTTCTTATTGTAAAATATTATCGATGTGGAACTACACATTGTTTTTAAAAACAAACCAATCTCATCTCCCAATTAGAGGAAGATGGCAAACAAAGCCTTACTTAAATATTTAAATTTATTCTATTTTAATATAACCACGTGACCGGCATTTTTTGACAAAACAAATTAAGTTATGTGTCGTATCGACTGTCACTTATCGCAACGGCACCTGTCTTAATCACTTCTTCTTTTTGTTAGTATAAGACACTAACACTCTTCAGTCACATTATTGGACTTTGTCAAATTTCATACAAAATTATCATTAAAGTCAATGTATATATATATATATATATATATATATATATATATATATATATATAGAAATACTGGATATTAGTGACTGTCGATATAAACAAACAAGATAGTTTATTAGGGTTGCAGTCAGAATATTGGCCGGAATGTTAAAAAAAAACACTCTTTTGACTTTTTGTCGAGCTTTCGGAATGGTTTTATTCCTTTTTCAAGACACTGTAACAGACAATTATGTAAATATTTAAAAATATCACAATTCTTCAGTGTACCTTACTAGTCGTTGAGATTATTTTTGTAAGCATTGTATAAATGTTGAGTGTCAATGCTTACAAAAATAATCTCAACGACTAGTAAGTTACACTGAAGAATTGTGATATTTTTAAATAATTACATAATTGTCTTTTACAGTGTCTTGAAAAAAGGAATAAAACCATTCCGAAAGCTCGACAAAAAGTCAAAAGAGTGTTTTTTTTTAACATTCCGGCCAATATTCTGACTGCAACCCTAATAAACTATCTTGTTTGTATATATATATATATATATATATATATATATATATATATATATATATATATATATGTATTGTAGTTTTGAGTTTCTTGAACCGTATTATATTTAATATAAAATTATGTGTGTGTGTGTTTGTATAATAAATTTTAAAGAGTAGCAAGGATTTAAATAAAAAAAGAACATCATAATTTACTCAGATACATCATGAGTGTAGTGAAGGGTTCACTAGAAAGAAAATAAAAAAAATTCCGAATATCCTTATCAATTAAAGTTTTCCTGTGGTAGTTTCCAGTAATGATTCTTTTGCACAGTTTAAATATATTAATAGGTTGACTTTTACAAAAAGAAAATGGTTGCTCAGTGTGGACAACATAATAATTAAGTTTTATAAAATATTATTTACTGCGGTTGGTTGGTTAAAGGCGTCCATTCACATTGTTTAATAAAATCTAAGAAATCTAAGAAGAAATAAGTTTTAGTGAAGAGAACAGGATATTTAAAATAGAATTTTAAGAAGTGAATACTAATAACGATCTACAAAAAGTATTAGTTAAATATTATGGCAAACGAATTGAAAACTAAATCGTTGAAAACAAGTATAGGAGAAGAATCATCTGGAAAGCGATCCCAAGAAGATGATTACCTTGTACCTTGGATTACCTTGGACAAATGTATTACAGAATCGGCAACTCCAAAAAAGCTGCCAAACTTAAAGCAGCAAGTAAAGCATTAAAGTCATTTATTCAGTTCCCAACTAATGGTACATCTTTTGCCAAGAAAACTGCCCCAGGTACGAGACTGGATTTTATATCAGATCAAGTCATTAACAAGAAAAATGGCAACATCGTCATTAACAACGAACAAAGCACTTAAAGAACCTTGGATACTATTAAACAAATTATACCCAGACGCTGAGCTCAGTTGCATTTCCAACGAGAGAGATCCTTACGGTAGATTTAAGATACCCATAAATATTAACAATGAAACCCATTTGGGTACTGGCTTAACAAGAGACTAGGTAAAAATGTAACGGCATCAGCAGCACTAAGCAAGTTAACCAATTACTCCAGTCTGATTTCATCTAATCTTGCTATTGAAGATTTCCCATTTACCTCGAAAGAAGAGCAAGATTTGGCCGATATGGTCGGAAGACTTCTTCTTCTTAGGGTGCCTGTCCATTCCGAACGTTAGCGATCATTCTGGCTGTGATGACTTTGTTCGTTGCTATACGAAATAGCTGTGTTGAGGTCTTTCTATATCATGCTCTTAGGTTAGCAATCCAGGATATTCTTCTTCGTCCTGGGGCCCATTTTCCTTCAATTTTACCTTGTAAAATGCATTGAATTAGCTCGTATTTGCCTTGATTTCTCATTATATGTCCCAAAAACTGCAGCTTACGGCCTTTTACGATGTTGATCAAATCCGCAGTTCTGTTCAAAAATGACATCAAGATAATATTGGGTGACATGAACGCCCAAATAGGCAAAGCAGAACAGTTCGCAGGAATAATCAGCAAACACTCACTCCATCAAAACACCAACGAGAACGGGGAATTCCTAATTAATTTTGCCAGCAGGAAAAACATGATTGTGAGCTCTACGTTCTTTGCTCATCGGGATGTACACAAAGCAACGTGGATCATGCCAGGTGGAGCGGTTACTAACCAAATTGACCATATCTTATTAGACAAAAGAGCTGCCACCAACATCCTAGTTGTAAAAAGTCGAAGAGGAGCATGCTGTGGATCTGATCACTTGCTGGTACAAGCAAAATATAGATGCAGGATCTCAAGAAACAGAGATAAGAAAGAACAGATAAAAGAGCAGTTGGACATTGATAAACTAAGCCAACAAAACGTTAAACTGAGCTACGAGACAGAAATAACCCAGACACTTACAAACACAGATTACCTAGACATTGAAGAACATTGGAAACAAATGAAGACAAAAGTATTAAATGCAGCAACAAAGACCATCGGTAAAAAGGTAAAGAAGCAAAGGGCAGAATGGTTCAACGAAGAGTGTAGACGGGCCATACACGAACGAAATGAAGCTCACAAGAAATATATGGAAAGGCGAACCAGAGAAAGAAGAACATTTTTCGAGGAACTACGACGCAGGGCGGATAAAATATGTCGAGGAGAAAAAAGAAAATGGGAAAATAATAAGATACAGAAAATGAAACAAAACCTCCAAAGCAACGATCTAAGGGAGGCATATAAATATCTTCGACAACTAAGAGAAGGATACAAACCCCGAACAAGTCTGTGCAGAAACCAAACAGATAAGATAATTAGTGAACCAACGCAAATAAAATCAGTTTGGAAAAGCCATTTCCAAGCTCTGCTAGGAGCACAAGGAAGCTCACGATCTTCGGATACGCGGCACATCGAGGAAGGAGACGAAGAAATAAGCAGCCCGACTCTTAAAGAAGTCAAACAAGCAATACAGGCGCAAAGAAACAACAAAGCGCCGGGATTTGATGATGTCCCTTCCGAACTGTATAAATTAGGTGGCGAACATCTAACAACGCAGGTGCACGCGCTCATATCTAAGGTATGGAGGAAAGAAAAAATTCCTAGCGATTGGAAAAATGGGATTATCTGCCCAATCTACAAAAAAGGGGACAAACTTAAATGCGAAAATCACCGCGGCATAACCCTCCTATGTTCGGCCTACAAAATTTTTACATCCATCCTGAATAGGCGACTTCAACCATTATGTGAAAATATTAACGGCGAATACCAGACCGGTTTTCGACAAGGCAGGTCGACAATAGATCAGCTTTTTACAGTAAAGAAAATCCTTAATAAAGCTTGGGAACACGATATTGATGTTCACAATATATTTGTCGACTTCAAACAGGCTTATGACTCGATAAATAGAAGCCGGTTATATAACATCATGGAAAGCTTCAATATTCCCTCGAAATATATCCGACTAGTAAAAGCAACGATGGACTCCACAATAGCAACTGTACGCATACAGTACGAATTAACTGACAGCTTCGAAATAGTTCAAGGGCTGAAACAAGGTGATGGACTAGCTCCAACACTGTTCAATCTGGCCTTTGAATATGTCATCAGAAAGCTGAATGTCGGAAGAGCCAATCTCCTAACAAACAAACAAATCTGTCCAGCTCGCCGCATATGCGGATGACTTTAACCTCATGTCCCGCAGAGTGGATGATGCAGCAGAAACATATTCGCAGCTGAAAAAAACGGCCAAGGAGATTGGACTTGAAATAAATACACAGAAGACAAAAATACTAACACAGACGCGGACAAAGCGAACAAGAAATCAAATCAAAGTAGAGGATGACATTGAAACAGTGAAGAGTTTTACTTATCTGGGAGTCGAAATGAATACGGAGGGAACAGAAGAGGCCGAAATTCAGAAGAGAATAATGAAGGGAAATAAAGCCTATTTTTCCCTGATTAACATATTCCGCTCCAAGACGGTACATCGAAAATCGAAACTTAAGGTCTATAAAACTATCATCAGACCGATAGTATGCTATGGATGCGAGACATGGGTTTTGACAGAAAGCACTAAACGAAGATCAGAGGTTTTCGAGAGAAAAATCCTAAGGAAGATCTTTGGACCCATCACTTAAAATGGGATGTGGAGATCTAGATATAACCATGAACTCTACCAACTGTTCAAAGAAGCACCTATTGCAGAGTTCGCTAGAGTACAAAGGCTTCTATGGGCTGGTCATGTGGTACGGATGGATGCCGACAGATTGCCGAGAAAGGCCTTGGATGGTAAAATGCAGGGCAGAAGACCAAAGGGAAGACCACGTAATAGATGGGAGAACGAAGTCACAGCAGATGCGCACAACTTACTGAACGTCAGGGCTTGGAGACGAGTGGCGCGGGATCGCCTTTGTTGGAGGCAGAAGTTACAGGAGGCCAAGGCTCAATTTGGGCTGTAGCGCCATTGGAAGAAGAAGAAGAAGAAGAAGGCATAGGTTTGATGTATAGGGGGTGTTTTAGCTTACTTTAGTATTACAAAATATACAGGTGTTCAATTTTTCACATGCAGAAAACCATGTCATATTTTTGACTGTATTAATTCCCATAAATCTCTCACTTAAACCTTTAAACCTGACTGGTTTAGAAATACACACAGTTTTAAAATAGCAAACAATAAATACTCTTTCTCTCTCTCTCTCTCTCTCTCTCTCTCTCTCTCGACTGTTGACTGCCACTAGCAATAGACGTGCTCTCGTGACTGTTGACTTTCGCTAGCAACAGACGTCCTCTCTCTCTCGACCGTTGACTGCCGTTAGTAACAGACATAATTTCCTCTCTCTCTCTCTCTCTTTCTCTCTCTCTCTTCCGTATCTTTTAATCCTCTTTCGAATCGTAGAGACAACAAACGCAAATATGCTTTGATGATTGGGACATGTATTTAAAAACCGGTAAAGACAGCTTTCCTGTAGAAGGAACAACCGCAAGTAAAAGCCTATAAATACCACGGGTGTATCTTTAACGGCAGTATTGGCAAGACGTTTTATAAACTAGATTTTGCTATTATCTGTATAACCCTTTACTACCTCTCCTATTAATTTTGAACCAGCCCTATTTAGTACAGTCCTTATACGCTGAAATTAAATTAATAATTTCACATAATATGTACACCCTTTTTTGTAAAGTAGGTTTTCGTCTATTTTAATACAGATAGTTAATATTTTTGGTTTTAGATGTAATGGCTGTTAGTAATATTAATAAGCAAGGACAGTAAAATTCTCACAGGGAAAAACTCACCGGAAATGTTACATATAGTTTTATTTTGTATATTCTAGATAAGAGTTAGTATATGTTAGATTCAAATGGACAAGATTTAGCTATATCTACACAACTCGCTTTAGATTTGATTAACGTACTTTTTTGATAACAAATTTTTGATACAATGGACACAATTATATATCGTGAGTTTCGTGAGTTTTTTAAAAACGTTTTTTAAACTGAAAGTAAAAATGTCAAAAACAAAAAAGGTTGTAACTTTAATTATAATAATTCTGATTTATTCCCCCACGACATAAAATAATCAGATAGAAGGAAAAGCCGTATAGAAAATATATGTTTAGATGATCCTAGATACAGGGCGCATGTTTATTATCTCAAGAAGTTTATATTTATTTTGCTTAACTTTAGAAGTAGTACAGAATGACATAAAAAACAAAATATTAAACCTCTGCACAATTTAAATATCTAGCCGTCCCTGCACCAATATATATCCATATGACGAAAGTTATAAAATGTATTTTATGTTTTTCGGTCCCTTTTTATAATAATCCGTCATTCATTTCATTATACTTTATTACGCTTGCTCTAGTTTTTGTTTAATATTTACACGAGCGGTCATTTTGATAACGAATGGGCGGATGTGCAGAAAGCTTGACATAAAAGGTTTGTTGATGTTAGTAGCAATTAGTTTACGTTTGTTTCATTTACTTCACTGTTAAATGGTTTTAAGTGTATCCTAAAGAGTGCTATATAAATTAATAAAATAAATAAAATAACGACGGTTTGGGAATATTATCTGTGAATAAGAAAATTACGATGTAGTTTTTCATAGCCACTCAGATCTTCGTTTAAGACAGACTTACACCGAGCAGAACGGTTTTATAAACAGTGACAGTTTTAATAAACTCTTAAGAAAATAGGAAAATATTTTAATACAAAATTATATATTCTAAATTTTAAACATATCTCTTTTAGAGCATACATAGTGAAAACGTTCCGCCAATATTTCTTGTTCACAATAATATATCTTATATGAAAGCTTATCAGCTTTGTCTTCGTAAGTGGGTATATTTATTTAAAAAACCCTTAAAAGGGCTACATAAAAAAAACAAGCGTTTTT